ACACGCTCCCTTTGAGCCTGTATATCTACGTTTGCACGCATTTTGTTTTCTATGATTCTTCTTTGAGACACCAATACTCAGATTCTTATTTTCTTCTGAGTGCCTCTTTTGCTTAACTCTTGTGCTTAAGCCTGTATTAAATTTTTATTAATAAACTCTCCACTTCTGCTGTACCATAAACTGGCTTCTCCCGAAATTTTTTTTTAATACTGTAAAGGAAAAAATATATATATCACTCTTAATGCTGGAATGCAGGGCCTTAGATATAAACAATTCAGGCCCCTTGCTGTAAGGGAGGGGAAGGGAGCCTTTTGTCCTGAGACAGGATGTGAGTCAGGATATTTACAGTCTCCAGGTAGAAAGGCAGGAAGAGATAAGAAAAACAGGTAGCACAAACCCCTCCTATCCAGGTGGGTCTCCAGCCAGGACAGGAAGTCCCTGGACAACCCCCCTCCTTGGTATTTAGATGAAAGGTCAAGAATGTGCCAGGACAGGAAGCCCCTGGACAACCCCCCTCCTTGGTATTTAGATGAAAGGTCAAGAATGCGCCACTCAGCTTTGCCTTATTTAAATTGACCAATGGAATGAATCCCTGTAACCACGCTTTTTTGCTTCTGTACCCGCGCTTTTGCTCTCCTATAAGAACCCCTCACCCCCAACCTAGGCGCGCAAGTTCTTCGAGAGACTTGTCGCCCAGGTACCTGTGTGTCCACCAATAAACCTCCTGCTGTTTGCATCCGGCTGCGTGTTTTCGACTGATCTTTGGGCACGGGGTCTTTCCCGAGGGAAGACGCCCACGCGGGAGTCTTTCAATACCAATGCCAAGAATACCTGGGTAACCTGAGTGCGGTTCCTTAAAGGCTGCTGAAGGTGGCGCTATGGAACAGTGTTCCTGTCCTCTGCTGGCGTGGCACAGGCCTATAATTCCAGCCCTAGGCAGAGGCAGATATATAGGTTCTAGAATATCCTAGTTTATATGGTGAGTACCTGACCAGCTAGGGTTACATAGAAAATATATAATATCTAAATGTTAATGATACAAATCTTAAAAAGTAAATTAAAATATAATAAAGAAATAAATGCTTGAGGAACTGGAGCTGCTAATGATTATATGTGTATGTGTGTGTGTGCACACTGGATGTCGTGTGATGTTTTATTCTTTTGTCTTTTTGACAATCACACACAGAGGCTTACTCTTAGTTATGATTGCCTGGTCTTAATTTGGCTTGTTTCTTGCCAGTTCTTCTTAAATTACCCCAACTACCTTTTGCCTCTGGGCTTTTATCTTTCTCTATTTCTGTATACCTTCCCTTCCTTCTTACTCTGTGGCTGTCTAGGCGGTTGGCCCCTGGAGTCCTCCTCTCCTTGTTCTCTTGCCCCTTTCTCTTTTTATCCTCTCTGCCCACCAGCCCCGCCTATCCCTGCACCTGCCTCACTATTGGCCATTTATCTCTTTATTAGGACCATCAGGTGTTTTAGACAGGCAAAGAATCACAGCTTCACAGTTAATTAAATGGTGCCTGAAAATAATATTCCCAACAGCTGGCTATTGAACCTAGGGTTTATTTACATGTGCAAACATGAGTTTCACTTCTGGACTCCACCGGCAGGCCTTACCCTGATTTGATCATTAGATATTATATACAGTGTCAGATCATTTTATTAGCCCTAATAAATATGTACAAGTATGTATGGATTTAAAAAAAAATCCTAAGAAGTGGGAAAGCAGTTTCCCTGAAGCTTGAGGATCAGAGTTTGAACCAGAACCCACATAAAACCCAATCAAATCTCAGCACCCAGGAGGCAGAAGCAGGGATTCCAGGGGCTGGACTTTCTGGATAGCTAGCCTAGCTAGAATAAACCAGCTCTGGCTCAGAGAGAGACTTTGCTGCAATAAAACAGAGAGCTACCGAAGACACCCAACATCCACTTTAGGCCTCAACACAAACAAGCACAGGGCCACACGCACTTGGATGCAAACACACACACACACACATGCACGTACACCTGCGCACACATACACATATTCCTGTGCACAAAATATGCCCGTACACCTGCGCACACACACATGCACACACACATACACATGCATGTACACACACGTATATATACCTATCTAGACTGATTATACAAACACTAGTTCTCTGGGAAGAGAAAGCCTCAAACTGAGAAAATGCCTTACAGCTAGATCTCATGAAGGCATTTCCTCAACTGAGGCTCCTTCCCCTCTGATGACTCTAACTTGTGTCAAGTTGACACACAAAACCATCTAGTACACTACTGAACCTGGACACAATTAATTGATTTAGCTCACCTGGCTGGCCAAGGACCTCCTGTCTCTGTTTTCCCAGCACTAGCACCACAGATGTATTTATGTGGTGGCCAGGGACCCCCATTCAGGTCCTCCTGACAAGCACTTTACCAACTGAGCCATCTCCCTAGCCCACAACCCTTCTGAAGACAGGATCTCGTTAGGCAGTGATGGTGCATACTTTTGATTCCAGCACTCAGGAGGCAGAGACAGATAGATCCCTGAGTTCAAGACTAGCCTAGTCTATACAGTGTGATCCTGTCTCGAAAAAACAAACAACAAACAAAGAGACAGGATCTCATACAACTCAAACTAGCCCCAATTCACTGTGTAGTTGAGATTGACTTTGGATTCCTCAGTTTTCTGCCTCTACCTCCTGAGTGCTGGGATTACAGGCGTGTGACATAAACCTTCTGCAAGAATTTCCTTTAAAAAAAAAAAAAAGAAAAAAAAAGATTGATTTATTTATCATATTTAGTGTTCTGTCCGCGTGTATGCCGGAAGGCCAGAAGAGGGCACCAGAACTCATTATAGATGGTTGTGAACCACCTAATGGTTGCTGGGAATTGAAATTAAGAACTCTGGAAGAGCAGCCAGTGCTCTTAACCTCTAAGCCATCTCTCCAGCCCCTGAATTATTTCTTTTTAAACAGGATCTACTGATCTACTTATATAGACAACACTGGCCTTGAACTGTGGGTGATCCTCCTGCCTCTGCCTTTGCCTCCGCCTCCTGAATGCTAAGATTATAGGCCAGGTATGAGCTACCACATCTAGAAAGTGCTAGAGCAAGCCTGGCATCATCAAGGCCCTCCAACCATCCCTGCTCAGGGTGTGAATTAAGCTCTTTGCTTTTGAGCTCTTTGGGGACACATTCTGTTTGATGGAGCCACTGTCAAAACTGCAGCAGCAGGCATCTCTGCTTCCCACTCTACTGCAGAGCCTGGGATCTGCATTGCTGAACCAGCAGCAAGAAGAGGCACCTTCTCACTTGAGAGAGGCTTCCTGCGTTCATAGAAGAAACCAGCACTGGAGATGGGATGAGTGAGACTGGGGTCAAGTGAAGGGATGACTCCCATGGGCACTGGGCAGGTGTGTTTTTTTTCCTTCCATCCAGTTGTTTCTAGCCACTTACAATGTCCTAGGCACTGCCCTAGAGCCGGAAGATGCAGCAGTGAACAACCCAAAAATCCTGCTCTCAGAGAGCAGGAAGGGGGTGACTCCAACGATAATAATGCTGGTTTTTGTTTGTTTGTTTCCCTCCTATTTACTATGAAGTCAAACCTATACAACAACCGCAGGCCTTGGGTAACACTGTTAGCTTTTTTTTTATAGACAGAGACAGGCAGACACAGCTGTGAGCAGCGAAGACTACAGAATTACTGTACAGTCCCCAATGAGATGGACCTCGAGACCTCTCAAGCTCCTTTGTAAAGGACACCACATTTGGAAAGTAAATTTTTGTAAGAAAAACTCAAATATAGATAAAGCTCATGTTTTCTGTCCCATGAAGGCTCACTGTAAGTCTTGTCCTTTACATATCTTAGGAATGTCTGGGATCCTAGAGCCTTTTGCATGCTAAGCAAGTGCTTTACCGCGGGGCTACACCATCAAAGCCATAACATTGCTTTCCTCTTTACCGAGGAGGTTCTCAAATTCTTGATGTAGCCATGATTGCCTTCAATTCCTGATTCTGTCTCCATCTCTCATAAAGTTGTATTTAAAAATATTTTCAATAACTGGGCAATGGTGGTGCATGCCTTTAATACCAGTACTTGGAAGGTAGAGGCAGGCAGATCTCAGAGTTTGAGGCCAGCCTGCGCTACTGATCTAGTTCCAGTACAGCCAGGGCTATACATAGAAACCTTGTCTTGAAAAACCAAAAAAAAAAAAAAAAAAAGATGGCTCAACAGTTAAGAGCACTGCCTTTGTCTTCTAGAGGTCCTGAGTTCAATTCCCAGCAACCACCGGGTCACAACAGATCTGTAATGAGATCTGGTGCCCTCTTCTGGCCTGCAGGCATAATGCAGACAGAACACTATACATAAGGAAAAAAATCTTTGAAAAAACAGAAAGCAACAACAAAATAAATTATTTAAAAAAGAAAGAAACCAAAAGCCAAGAGACACCATGACTAAGGCAGCTCTTACAAAGGAAAACATTTAATTGGGGGCATCCTCACACGGACATGCATACAGACAAAACCCCAATGTACATAAAAATAAATAAACGTTGCCGGGCAGTGGTGGCGCACATCTTTAATCCCAGCATTCGGGAGGCCGAGGCAGGCAGATCTCTAAGTTTAAAGCCAGCCTGGTCTACAGAACGAGTTCCAGGACAGCCAGAGCTACACAGAGAAACCTTGTCTCAGAAAAAAAAAAAACAAAAAAACAAAAAACAAAATACAAAACAAACAAAAAAGACTCCCTGGTCTCTCTGAGTATTTTAGTTCTGGAAGTTGGGGGAGCGTTATGTTTAAGAACTCTTACTGCAGTGTGGTGTTGGCGCACGCCTTTAATTCCAGCACTCGGAGGCAGAGGCAGGAGGATCGAGGCCAGCCTGGTCTACAAGAGCTACTTTCAGGACAGGCTTCAAAGCTACAAAAAAACCCTGTCTTGAAAAGCAAAAAACATAAAACAAACAAACAAAAAAAGAGAACTCTTTTCCTTCAACAAGGTGGGGCTGAGAGAGCAGGAGCTGGCGACTCCAAGTGAACTCCATTTCCCAGGGTACGCTGCGCTAAACGCGCAGCCGCGTTAAAGAGCCGACTCTGGGAGCGACAGGCAGACGCAGGTATGTGGGTCCGCGGGGGTCTTTCAGTTCCGCTCTAGTTTCGGGCACCCTCCTGCGGGTCTTCTGTAGCCCCCAGGGCTAGCTAGCTGCAGGAGACCTCTACAGTGTTGCTTTCGCTTCTTCTAGGCTGTTTTTTTATTTTATTTATTTATTTATTTTTGGTGGGAGCTCCGCGAGTTGGGGACACCTGGCGCACCCAGGGGCATTCCCTTGAGCCGGTGGAGCTCCAGCGCTGCACTGATTTTGAGTGGTTTCCCTGCTTCAGTTTACCCCTCTAGGTACACGTTTCATGAACATGCTGTTTACATCCTGGTTTTACTCCCAGCCAACTTCTTTCTGTCTCTTGTTCTTCAGAAAGCCGCAGATCAGAGTCTTCTAGGGCCTGATACACACACACACACACACACACACACACACACACACACACACACAGACTGATGCAACTTTTAAAATTTTTTAAATGCTAAAATGTTCATAGTACCTGCCTGTTCCATAATCTGAGCACAATAAACCCAGTATTGGAAAGTGGAGGCAGGAGGAGGATGGAAAGTTTGAGGCCAGCTAGGCCTACAAAGTGAGTGCTTGTTTTGAAAATGTGTGTGCGTGTGTGTATAAGGGTATTATTTTATTGTCTTTGGATATATGCACTATCTTATAATTTTACTGAGGAATCCTAGCACTAGAAAAAAACAGAAACACAAACAAAAAACTTTGGCTAAGTGAGTTGGCACAATCCTTTACAGTACACAGGAGACAAAAGCAGGAGAATCAGAAGTTTAAGGCCACCCTTGGCTACATAGTAAATTAGAGGCCAGTGCAGGATCCATAAGACTGTGCTTTAACTTGAAAAAAAAAAAAAAGCCCAACCCACAAAACTCCAGCTTGGATTGGGCAAATGAAGTTCTTTTAAAAATGGGTGAAGTGTTGCAATAATTAACTTTCTGTATTCTAAGATCACAAATGCCACACGTGACATGGACAGCTGCAAGACTGTTTTTCTTACTGTGGCTGAGAGCAGGACCCTGCTAGCTCTACCTGACCTTAGGCAGCCTGCTTACACTTTGAGCCCAGATTTCTTTATCTGCACAGTGTGATAAAGATCAACTATTAGGACTGCTGAGAAACACTCCCTAAGTGTTAGTTGGGGTATTAAATACTCTCGGGAGGGGAATACTTCTCAGCCTTGTTTGATTTCTTGAGGCTTTCCCTGCCCTCCCCCCACTTAGTATTCAGAGTTGTCTAGGTTTGCCTTTCTATTGCTGTGATAAAACTCTACCAACAACAACCTGGGGAGGAAAGGGAGGGTGTGTTTGTTGACAGTCCCTCATTTAGGAAGTTCAGGGCAGGAATTCCAGGCCATTCCTTTTTTTTTTTTTTTTTAATTATTTATTTATTATATATACAGTGTTCTGTCTGCATGCATGCCTGTAGGCCAGAAGAGGTCGCCAGATCTCATTACAGGTGGTGGTGAGTCACCATGTGGTTGCTGGGAATTGAACTCAGGACCTCTGGAAGAGTAGTCATTGCTCTCAACTGCTGAGCTGTCTCTCCAGCCCCTCCAGGCCATTCTTTAATTGAGGTTCTTTCTTCCCAGCTGACTCTGTTCTGTCTACTTGGTGGTAAAAACTAACCAGGAGTAGGGCCTTTGACCCAGAGACTATTTCAGAACCTTCATCCCCCCCCCCAAACAGGGTGAAGTCAAAACTCTTACTTCCTTTGCCACCCTAGAAAGATCTGTCATCCACTCAGCCATTTGCAGGTGCCACTTTTTGTTTTGGGGACGGGGACATTTAAAGTCATGCTTTTTATTTTACAAGTCCAGTGGACAAAGTCATGGATAAGGAGGGGCTGGAGAGATGACTCAGTAGTTAAGAGCACTTGCTACTCTCCCCCCTTACCAGTTTCTCTGGGTAACCCTGGCTCTGCAGACCAGGCTCACCTTGAACTCAGAGATCTGCCTGCTCTGCCTCCACGACCTGCCATCGCTACTCCTGTAGAGGACCTAAGTTTGATTCCCAGCACACACATGGTAGCTCTCATAACCATCTGTAATTCCAGTCCCAGGAGAACTGATACCCTCTCCTGACCTCTGATGGCCCCAGACACACATGTGGTACAATATGTACATGCAGGCAAAACACTCAGACACATACAAATGATAAAATAAAAATGTCACAGGAATCTGTTCTTGTGTTAAAATTCATAAAACTGCATACCAGAAAGAGTTAACTTTAAAAGTATTCACACGTACTCATGCACTGCTGTTTCAGGAAGGCCCTCACCCTCTGGGCCGGAATGGAGCACCCAAGGGGGGTTGATTGGACAGTCATTATCCTGACGTGCCAGTACAAGGACAGTGTCCAGGTCTTTCAGAGAGGTAGGTGACATGCCCTCCCACCTGTCCCTTACCAGACCCCTGCTGCACTGGGAGCCCCGTAGACCTGGGTTAAAACAGGTCTCCCTAGTCTTGGGACTTGATACACATGTTACTTCAACGGCCTCTAGATGTCTTTTTTTTAAAAGGGATTTTTTAAAAATATTTATTTATTTATTATGTATACAATATTCTGTCTGTGTGTATGCCTGCAGGCCAGAAGAGGACACCAGACCCCATTACAGATGGTTGTGAGCCACCATGTGGTTGCTGGGAATTGAACTCAGGACCTTTGGAAGAGCAGGCAATGCTCTTAACCTCTGAGCCATCTCTCCAGCCCTAAAAGGGATATTTTTAAAAGTTTATTTTATGTGTATTGGTGGTTTTCCTTGCATGTATGTGTGAGGGAGTTAGATCACAGAGTTACAGACAGTTGTGAGCTGCCATGTGGGTGCTGGGAATTGAACCCAGGTCCTCCGGAAGTGTACTCAGTGTTCTTAACTGTTGAACCATCTCTCCAGCCCAGGCCTTTAGTTTTCTTATCTGTAAAATGAGGGTAACAGTACTTCCTCAAAGAGTTTGGGAAGAATCTAGCTATCTACTGTATGAAAAGCCAAGTCAATTTAATCAAACGACTATTACCGGGCTTGTGCAGGCCTTTTGGGTCAGGACAGGTGGGTGGTGACAGTGTGTGTCTCAGCATTTATTTTGATCGCAGAGCTGGAGATCCGGCAGAAGCGGGAGCAGATCCCTGCTGGGACACTGTTACTGGCCGTGGAGGACCCTCAGACTCGGGTAGGCAGTGGAGGAGCCACCCTCAACGCACTGCTGGTGGCTGCGGAACACCTGAGCGCCCGTGCAGGCTTCACCGTGAGTGCTTCTGAGCTGCCGCCCCTCCGGCCCGTGTTCCCCCTGGAACTCAGTAGTTCCTGCGACCTTCAGCTCTCCTAGTTTGTTCAGCATTTGGCTTTTGATTTAGAGTGTGTAAGTTAGACAGACTCATCTCTATCTACCATGCCATCCAGGTCATGGCAAAAGGCAGGACCAGTCTTTGGAGTGGTTTTAGAAAGAAGGAGCCAGAATTGAGGCATGGTAACACTAGGAAGGCTGAGGCAGGAGGATTACCACAAGCTTAAGACCAACCTGCGCTACATTGTAAAACCTTGTCTCAAGCAGTTTGGAGCTAGTATCTCAGTATTCAATAGGCTTTTCTTGGAAAAGTTCTAAGATCTTGCTGGGTATGGTGGCACATACCTCTCAGCACTTGGGAGGCAGAGGCAGTGGATCTCTGTGAGTTGAAGGCCAGGGTAGTCTACAGTGAGTTTCTGCCAGCCAGGGCTACATAGTGAGACTTTGTCTCTAAAACAAAACAAAAACATTCATATAGATCTTGCCACTTTATACTCTTGTTCCCATAAGGCACCTGGTCAGCGGAACTGATATGTGGTCTCCCTTTGAGGAGGGTATGTGTGGTTCCTACAGGCTCTGTCCCCTAGCTGTTTGCTCGCATAGCAGAAAGGTGTGGAGGAGGACGGTGCCCCTAGGCATAACCATCTCTAGCAGTGGAGGTGGAATTGGCAAGGGGATAGGAACACTGTAGTTGTCATCAGAGCTGACACCCCCAGACACTCACGTGGCCTCAAATTGCTGCCTGTTGCCTCCCCTTCAAATAAGTCAAGGACATGCCAAGTGAATGGCTGCCTGTCAAGCTGTCCTTTAATAGTCTTTTTAAAAATTGTATGTATGTATGTATGTATGTATGTATGTATGTATTGAGACAGTGTCTCTGTATGTAGGCCTGGCTGTCTTGGAACTCACAAGTAGACCAGGCTGGCCTTGAACTCACAGAGATCTTCCTGTCTTTGCCTCTCAAGTGCCAGGATTAAAGGCATGTGCCACCATGCCTCGTGTGCTCATTGGTCTTGCTCTTGCCCTTTTTCCTTTTGATACCTGTATTGGAGTCATCCCCCCCACCCTGGGCAGAAGTGTATCATCCTTAGGTGGCATCTGCCCAAGGCCTCTGTCAACAGGGCTCTCCTGCTCTTGACAGGTGGTCACGTCTGATGTCCTGCACTCAGCCTGGATCCTCATCTTGCACATGGTGAGTGGAATCCAGGGTATGGGCTGTGCAGAGGGTTGGAATCTTGGTTCTAGAGATTGGAAGGGACTTTAGGGGTGTTCTACCGTTGTTTGTATGCAAAGTGTTCATTGTGTAAATCCAGAGGGCTCTGAAAGAGCCGAAATGTCGGAAACTGGGAGCTGATTAGATACGATTTTAGACAAATTAAAAGGTTCATCTGGAGATGGAGAGAAGGCTCAGTGGGTAAGAACATTTACTGTATAACTGTGAAGACCTGAGTTCAAATCCCCGACACCCACGTAAAAGCTGGGCATGGCTTTGTGTGCCTGTAATCCCAGAATTTGAACTCCTCTTTTGGCCTCTGCAGGCACCTGCATACAGAGAAGCGGGCAGGCACATGTATACATTCAAAAAAAAAAAGACAGCCTCAAGTAGTCTTGTCTTGCTACAAACTTACTCCAACAGACTTGAACTTCTGATTCTCCACTTCCCAAGCATGGGATTACAGGCTGTGCCACCATGCACAGTTCATATGAGGCCAGGGTTTACATATGGTGCGGGGCAAGTGTACCACCAAGTGAGTCACATCTCTGGTTTACTGAGCTTATGTTTCTTTGTTTGTTTGTTTTTGAGGCAGGGTCTCACTGTGTAGCCCTGGCTGGCCTGGAGCTCACTATGTAGACCAGGCTAGCCTCACACTCAGACCCACCTGCCTCTGCTTCTCGAGTGCTGGGATTGATGGCATGTGCCACCATGCCTGACCAGCTTATGTTTGTTAAAAGACAAAATTTAGAGAAAGTATGAACGGAAGCCTATTGAGATGGCTCCGGGGGTAAAGGCACTTTCTGTGAAACCAAGACCCGCATAGTAGAAGCAGAGACTCGACTCCTTCTGTTCTTTGACCTCCTTTACCTGCCCTGTGGCACAAGTGTGTGCATGCACACATACACATACCCAAAGCAAAACATATAAAAGCATTACTAATGAAAATCCGATAGGGTATACCTCAAAATGAGGGCAGTACTTAGTATTCCTGAGGATATTTTTTCCTTTTATGTATATACATTTTCTGATTTTGCACAGTAATCATGTTAATTTTAAAAATTCAAAGAAGCACCGTCAATGTAACACTTTTTTGTTTTTTAAACTATCCTCTACTTAATGCCTCCCACCCTTGCTCAGTGTTCTGGCTGAGGTGTTCTTGGGAGGTTCTCTGTGTCAAGTGCTCCCACTTATGAGCTTCTGCTTCCCCATAGGGCCGAGACTTCCCCTTTGATGACTGTGGCAGGGCCTTCACTTGCCTCCCTGTGGAGAATCCACAGGCACCTGTGGAGGCCTTGGTCTGCAACCTGGACTGCCTGTTGGATATCATGACCCACCGGGTAAGGCCAGGTAGCTGATAAGGGTGCCCCATCCCAGATAGAGCCAGTTTGTACATTCTGAGCCATCAGTGAGGAGGGTTTGTATGGCTCAGATGGGGGGAGGAACCCCAGAAAGAATGGCGTGCAGTGTGCAGAGCTAGAACTTCAAGTGGTTAGTTTGGGGGCCAGGTGTGGTGACGCACGCCTTTGATCTCAGCACTCAGGAGCAGAGTCAGTTAGATCTGAGTTCCAGTCCAGTCTGGCCCATATAGCGAGACCCCGACCCCCCAAAACAAACAAGAAGTACAGCTTGAGGTTGACAGGGAAGGGGTCCACACTGACATGATGGCACTTGAGAGGTCCTTCAGCAGCAGACTCCTGTCAGGTTAAGTGGTTGGGAGAGCACACACAACAAGCCAACACAGGGGTGAGAGAGTAGAGGCAGGGCCGGGCCAGCCGCTAGTTAAGTTTTCTCTTTTCTCTCTTTCCCCTGGCTCGCTGCAGCTGGGCCCAGGTTCCCCACCAGGCGTGTGGGTCTGCAGCACCGACATGCTTCTGTCCGTTCCTCCAAACCCCGGTGAGCCTGGGACGGCCTGGGACCACCTTCCCTCTCCACACCTAAGGCTGGCCCTTCGTCTGTACCCACCCTGTGTCAGCAGCCTATTTATAAAGGAAGCATAGGCCAGACCAAGAGGCCAGCATCGCTCTGTTGAGCCTCAGTCTGCCCATCTGTAGACTTGGTAGCTGGCTGTGGTGCCTCATTTCTATAACTCTAGCTCCTCGGGAGGGCGAGGCAGGAAGATGGCTGCAGGTTCAAGATATAGGGAGTTCTCGGACAACTTACTCATACCCCCACCAGGAAAAAAAACCATCCAAATAGGAATGGCCAGAACCGCCTCACCCCTTTGGCCCACAGTTCTTTGTAGAAGAGCTTTGGGGGAGGAGGGATTGCCATTTTCCCAGAGGAATGTCCACTTGGCCTTGGAAACTCTGTTTCCCTTTTCGAGCTACCCAGATGCCCCATCTCTGGGCCCTGGCTTCCTCATGGCTGGGGCTCCCCACCTTGCAACCCTGATTGTGCCACCCCATAGGGATCAACTGGGATGGCTTCCGGGGAACCAGAGTGATTGCCTTTCCTGGGAGCCTGACCTACGCTCTCAACCACGGTGTCTACCTTACCGACTCGCAGGTACCGTTCCCGGGGACAGCTGAACTACCCTGGGATAGGGGCGCTTTTCCAGACCTGGACTCTGGAACCCATTGTCCTCCAGCCTGAGTTTTCCTTTATGGTTCATCTCTGGTGCTCACAGCGTCTGCGTGTTGGCTGTGTTCAGATGCTGGGGCTGTGACAGCCATTAAACCCTGCCCTTAACCTCGCACAGGCAGAAGTCTGAGCGCTTGTGGTCCCACAAACACACTGGTACCCAGCAGACTTGCGTCTTCTCGCGTGGAGACCGTCTGCTGATACTCACAGCTGTGCCCACTTTCGGGCTCCTGTCCGTAATTCTGTTCCTCCCCTCCCCACAGGGCTTTGTTTTGGACATTTTCTACCAGGGCACTAAGGCGGAGCTACAGCGGTGTGTCAGGCCTGACGGGCTGGTACCCCTGGTATGGTTGCTGAGCTTGGGGTGAGGGAATCTTGGGGACTTTGTGGGGGGCAGCTTCCCTTTCTTTCTGGGGAAAAGCCCCACTCTTATTAGATGATTCCAGGCCAAGCTAGAACCAGAATAAAGACAGATTCAGGAGGCAGATGGAGCCAGAGTCTAGGGAGCAGTCTAGCAGTCTTCCTAGGTAGACTCGGAAGTTCAGGGTCTCGTTCTGTGCTAGAAAGCTACCAAAGTTAGGGAACGCAGTAGAAAGAGATACGGAAGCAGGCCAGGATGGACCTGGGTGGGAGTATTGGGAAAGGGTGTGGGACTGGGATTGGCAGGAGGGGGTTCTGTAAGGTGTGTGTGTTGGCAGGAGCTACCCAGACCTGGAATCTGAGGGGCTAGATGGTCCAAAAAGTCCATGCCCTTTATAGTACCCGGCCTTGTGGCTTATCTGTAGGTGTCTTCCTCAACTCATTTCTGAGCTTGGCTTCAGGGTTCCTCCACTCAAGTCTTGTGGGTCCCTCCAGGTCTCTGGGGTTGTCTTCTTCTCTGTGGAGACGGCTGAACACCTCCTGGCTACCCACGTGAGCCCGCCTCTGGATGCCTGCACCTATATGGGCTTGGACTCTGGAGCCCAGCCTGTGCAGGTGACTGGAAAAAGGCAACTGGGGTCACCTGACTGGGGGTGCGATGCGGTGTGACCTTTCTGGGCCAGCATCTCTGCAGATAGGACTCCCCCAGCCTTGGGGTTGTGGGGTCCAGTCGTCACCTTACCAGTAGTTTAGCTGTGCTTCTTATCCTTACTCAGCTGTCTCTGTTTTTCGACATCCTGCTCTGCATGGCTCAAAATGTGAACAGGGAGAACTTCCTGGCTGGGCGGCCCCCAGAGATGGGGCAAGGTGACACAGACGTAGCAGGTTCTCTGAAGGGAGCCCGAGCCCAGCTGTGGAGGGAACTTCGCGATCAGCCCCTCACGATGGGTGAGTAGTGCTTTGTTTTGTTTTGTTTTGTTTTGTTTGAGACAGGGTTTCTCTGTGTAGCAGCTCTGGCTCTGGCTGTCTTGGAACTAGCTCTGTGGTCCAAGTTGGCTTCGAACTCACAGAGGTCTGCCTCTCATGTGCTGGGATTAAAGGTGTGCCCCCACCACCACCCGGCCCACTTGTTTGTTTTGTGTATTTGGGACAGCATTTCTCTGTGTAGCTCTAGCTGTCCTGGAATTCACTCTGTAGGCCAGGCTGGCCTCTGCCTCCCAAGTGCATGTGCCACCATGCCCACAGGGTGAGTGTTTCTTATTGCCCCTCTGGGTGGAAAGAAAGCCACCTCCTGTACTGTGGAATAGGCAGGCCAGCCCATGAACCGGACAGTGATGCTCTCCCCTTCCATAGCTCTCCGGCCAAGCTACTTCCGTTTCCTGTCTTCGTCTTATCTTGCTTTGGTGCTTTTCCTGGTGTGTCCACCTATTATCTATGGGCCTGGATTCTGAACCTCAGCTTTATCATTGGTCCAAGTAGCTCCCCCCATGCCTGCTTTCTGGTGTCTGGTGGCAGCCACCTGACTTTGCACTGGAGCTGCAGCAGGCACAGGGTTGGAGTCAGTGCTTTTGAAAAAGGATTTGTTTTTTAATTTAAAAATTTATATGTATGCTTGCGTTGGTATGGATGCCTGTTGGTATGCACGTGTGGTTGCTGGTGCCCTCAGAGGCCAGAAGAGAGCACTGGATGCCCTGAAGCTGGAGTTGCAGGTGGTTATGGGTGCTGGGAATTTCTAGTCCTCTGCAAGGGCAGTATGCGCTCCTAGCAACCGAGCCATCTCTCGAGCCCCCCAAGGTCCACGCTTGTGTCTTTACAGTGTATATCCCTGATGGGGGCTACAGCTATATGACTGCTGACGCCAGTGAGTTCCTGCACAGCCTCACAATGCCGGGGGTTGCTGTGGCCCAGATCATCCACTCCCAGGTGGAGGTGAGATCTGTCTGCTCCTTAACAGGTGCCTGCTGGGTACTTGAGGTCAGGTGAGATGTGGGCGCCAGAGAAAGAAATATCTGGTGTTTGAAACAGTTTACCTATGAGTTAAGGTGCTATCTCTATTTTAACTCATTATTAACGGTCTCTTTTAAAGATATAATCTCATGTAGCCAGGCTGATCTCAAACTTGGTATTGTCTCCAAGGATGACCTTGAACTACTCCCCACTCCAGACAGGGTTTCTTTGTGCAGCCCTGACTGTCCTAGAACTGGCTTTGTAGACCAGGCTGGCTTGGTCTACAGAGAGACCAGAGAGACCAGCTTGCCTCTGCCTCCCGAGTGCTGAGATTAAAGGTGTGCACCACCACAGTAAGATATCCCAGAGGCAGCAGAGGCTCAGAGGCGTTGAGGCACTTATCCAAGGCCACAGAGCCAGGGAGCTGTGTCAGAAGCTAGGGAAGGCCTTTCCGCGGGGTCTCTGTGGACACAGACACCTGTGGGTCTGGCCAGTGCTGTGATGCTGGGGGCCAGGGCAGACGGGAGTTCCGAGGTTGCTCTTGGGATAGGAGTAGCTGGATAGATGGGATGGGACACGTTCTTTGGCTTAGGCTGGGCCAGGTCTAGAGGGCATCTGGCTGGTTGGAGTTCCTGGAGTGCAGCGGGTCTTGTTCTTCCCATCCAGATCTGGTTTCCAAGGGAGAACGAAGGTAACCCCTGGCCTTCAGCTTTCCTGATTTTCTTCTCTGGCTTCACAGAAGCCCGAGCTGCTAGAGGCCTCCTGCTCTGTGGTCAGCTGTCTGCTGGAGGGGCCCGTCCGCCTGGGGCCTCGGAGCGTCCTGCAGCACTGCCACCTGAGGGTGAGGCCTGACAGCGTGGGCGGGGGGAAGCAGGCGGGCGTGCCACTGCTCAGCATTCGCTTGGATGCCCCACGTACCTGCTTCCCACCTCAAGATGCCTGCTCCCCCTTCCTCTCAGGGCCCCGTTCATGTTGGCGCTGGCTGCTTTGTGAGTGGCCTGGATACTGCCCACTCCGAGGCACTGCATGGCCTGGAGCTCCATGACCTCATCCTGCAGGGACACCACGTGCGGCTGCATGGCTCTCTGAGCCGAGTCTTTACTCTTGTTGGCCGTCTGGACAGCTGGGAAGTAGGCATCTACCTCATGTTCCTTTGCCTCCATCCTCAGACTTTTGGGAGCCCCCGGGGGTTTGACTCTATCCTATCACAAGGGTCTCTGAACACTGGCCATTGGGATAGACTGGGGGGGGGAGGGTGTGGCCAGATGTCTCAATAGACCTTAGAGAATTTTATCCCCATTTTAGAGGCTGGTGATTGAGGTTTAAAGGCGGTAGCTTGGGTCCCATAGTCAGTAATGGCCCCCATAAGAAGTAGAACTCAGGATTCTGCTCTAAATCCTAGGCATTTGGGTGGAAGTGTTGAAGTAGTCTAAAGGAGGCTGTTCTTTTGTGTGTGTCTCTCTCTTCCAGTCCCTTTTGGAGCATCTGTTCCCCCGCCTCTGGCCTGGTACCCCCCATTCCCTTTCAAAGGTCCCTGCATTCCTGACTGCTTCTTCCTCTTCCCCCAGAGACAGGGGGCAGGCATGTATCTCAACATGTCCTGGACTGAGTTCTTCAAGAAGACAGGCATCCGGTAAGTAAACTGGATGCTCCCACCAGGCCTCTGTGCGCCTAGGCAGCCCCCGTGGCTGTTTCTTTGAAGTTTGTGCCTGAGCAGCCCTGTCCGGTCCTCTTAGCACCCTGCTGGCCTAGTGCAGTTTGGAGAAGCTGGGTTCTCTCCAGTACTTCCCGCCATGCAGCTCTCATTCCCTGGTTGTGTTGTGTTTAGACTTTGGTTTTCTTTATGAATATCTTAAGCAAGGTGATAAAAGCGGCATAGCCTCCCTCCCCTTGTAATACACTACTACCTCCCATGGGGGAGTATGTCTCATCCCCACGAGTTGACAGACAGCCCAGGGCTTGGGAAGGAGGCAGGAGCCTTCATTTCCTTCCCATTAATGTACCTCTTTGCACCCCAGAGACTGGGACCTGTGGGACCCAGACACGCCCCCCTCAGATCGAGGCCTTCTCAGTGCTCGCCTCTTCCCTGTGCTCCACCCCACGAGGGCCCTGGGGCCCCAGGACGTGCTGTGGATGCTGTATCCCCAGGAGGACAGAGGTGAAGCCCTGCGAGCCTGGCGAGCCTCTTGGCGCCTGTCCTGGGAGCAGCTGCAGCCTTGCCTGGACCGGGCTGCCACACTGGCCTCCCGTCGGGATCTGTTCTTCTGCCAGGCCTTGCAGAAGGCACGGCATGTGCTAGAGGCTCGGCAGGACCTCTGCCTGCGTCCATTGATCCGGGCTGCTGTTGGCGAAGGTTGCTCTGGACCCCTGCTGGCCACACTGGACAAGGGTGAGTGTGCTAAAGAGTCCAACTATAATCTCTTGCCCTGCCTGCCCTTTAGGCCGTCAGTTGAAAGGATGAGGGAGCCATGAAATTCTAAAAGAGAAGAGGTACCCTAGCTTGGTTTTTAGAAAGCTTTGTTCTTGTTAGTAAGGTTTTTAGTGGGAGATGGAGGCCTGGTTGCTAAGCTTCTGGGTCCTTAGGGCACCCACAGGCCTGTGTGTTCTGTGCTAAGTGCCAGGACGGGGGTACAGAGCTCCAGCAGGGACCCGACATATGGGCAGTTCTCCCACACTGTACATGGACCATATGGCCTGGTGGCTAGAGAAAGTGCCTCATTAGTGGCCCTGAGAAGATTGGCTCCTCGTCCCTGTTTAAGTCACTCACCCATAGCCACACAGCCAACTGAGACTAAGACTTGAACCCATGTGGTCTGACCCCTGAATTCTTTCAAAATTATTTATTTAAGCCAGGTAGTAGTGGTACATGCCTGTAGCCCCAGCACTTGGAGGCAGAGGTAGGTGGATTTATCAGTGAGTTCTAGGCCAGCCTGGTCTACAAAGTGAGTTCCAGGACATCCAGGGCTACATAGAGAAAGCCTGTCTCGAAAACAACACATTTTTTTAAAATTTAATATTTTATGTGTGTACATATGTGTGCATGTATGTTAGAGGACTCGTGTGCTCTCCTTTTAGCATGTGGGTGCCAGGGGTTGAATTCAGGTCGTCAGGTCTGGCAGCAAGTGCTTTTTTCCCAAACTCCTTCACCGACCCATGCCTGAACTCTTACTCTGATGGCTCAGGCAGCAGTGGAGGATGCATTTGGGCTGGAGCTAGCAGAATAAAACCTTTGCTGGTCAAGTAGGACGCACTCACAGGCAGGGGGCACATCTTGACAAAAGCTGGTAGGGATGAGGAGTCTGGAGTAACTGGGGACTGTTGAGACTGGGAGCAGAAGGCCAGCAGCCTTCTCTTCCAAAACCCCTAACTCCTGGTCCCTCAGTCGCAGCTGAAGCGGAAGACCCTGGTGTGGCAGCCCGGGCTCTGGCTTGTGTGGCCGATGTCCTGGGCTGCATGGCAGAGGGCCGAGGAGGTTTGCGCAGTGGACCGGCTGCCAACCCAGAGTGGATTCAGCCTTTCTCGTACTTGGAATGTGGAGACCTGGTGAGGGGTGTGGAGGCCCTTGCCCAGGAAAGAGAAAAGTGGCTGAGCAGGTGGGTGTTAATCAGTCGGAACCCACTGAGAAGCCATCCGGGGAAGGATCTCCTGATGGCGGGAACTCAGAGAGCGGGTGTTCAGATTGACTAAGACCCCCAGCTTGTGTCTCCGTGCAACCGGCTGTCTCCCCTCCTGTCAGGCCTGCCTTGCTGGTTCGAGCTGCCCGCCATTATGAGGGGGCTGAGCAGATCCTGATCCGCCAGGCTGTCATGACAGCCCAGCACTTTGTATCCACCCAGCCAGTGGAGCTGCCAGCACCTGGGCAGTGGGTGGTGGCTGAGTGCCCCGCCCGTGTGGATTTCTCTGGTGAGTCCCCTGGGTGAGGTATTGGTAACTTCCTCAGAGCCAGGCTTGCAGGCTCGTGTGACCTTGTTGAACCAGGTGGATGGAGTGACACACCACCCATTGCCTATGAGCTTGGCGGAGCAGTGTTGGGCCTGGCTGTGCGGGTGGATGGCCACCGGCCCATCGGGGCCAAGGCTCGTCGTATCTTGGAGCCTGAACTGTGGCTGGCAGCAGGGCCTCAACAGAATGAGATGACCATGAAGATAGTGTGCCGGAGCCTGAATGACCTGCAGGATTACTGCCAGCCTCACGCCCCAGGTCAGCACAGCTAATTCATGGTCAAATAGGAATGGCAGTCACAGCCAGCTGGGATGAGGGCAGAACTTGGAGAACCAACCACAGAGGACTGCAGACTATTGGGGACCTCACCTTAGGGTAGCCAGTATGAGGAGCCCTGAAGGGGCTGGCAGTCACCCTTCTTAGGTACAAACTGGCACAGGACAAAGTGACACATTTGCCTATGGTAAGAGAGCCTAAATATCCCTTTATGGTTTGACCAGAGGAGCTCCATCTTGGGCTGGGAAATTGCAGTGAGGTGGACTAAGTGATGGCCTAGGAGTGCAATTCCTTCTTTTGTGCTCATCTTTCAGGGGCCCTGCTGAAGGCAGCCTTTATATGTGCTGGTATTGTGCATGTCCACTCAGACGTCCCTCTGTGTGAACAGCTGTCACACTCCTTTAATGGTGGCTTTGAGCTGCACACCTGGTCAGAGCTGCCCCATGGCTCCGGTCTTGGTGAGTAAGCCCTGGGCCTCTGTGGTCTATCTTTCTTGTCTCAACTCCTCAGTCTTGCTTATGGTCACGATCCCTGGCCTCTGTGCAGCAGAAAGAGGGGTGCTGTGAGGCTGGGCAGAAGTGGTTCATGACTGGAGCCCTCCTCTGTGTTTTGCAGGCACCAGCAGCATCCTGGCAGGGGCTGCCCTGGCTGCCTTGCAGCGGGCTGCAGGCCAGGCAGTGGGCACAGAGGCCTTGATCCATGCAGTATTGCACCTGGAGCAGGTGCTCACCACAGGTACAAAGTGAACTAGGGCGGTGGAGAATTCCATCATTGTCCATAGACCCTGTAGGGCAGGCTTCCTAGATTTACCAGTAGCCACATAACTGTGTTACTTTTTAAAATGGCCAGTTTCCTTATCACTTTGATTTCTGATGCTTTTCAACTTGAAATGTTTTATCTCAAAGGAGTTAATGTCCCATGAATGCCTACTTGAGGGCTCCTTTAGATTTTTATGTACGAGCGTTTTGGCCACATGTATGTAAGTGCACCTTGTCTGAGGCCCAGGGAGTGCTGAAGAGGGTGCTGGATTGCTTAGAGCAGGAGCTAACAGATGGTAGTGAGCCACTATAGGGGTGATTGAACCCCGGTACTCTGAAAGTAGATGCTCCTAACTGCCGAGCCATCTCTCCAGGCCCAATTGCTCCTTTCTTTCGTTATTGGGTACCTGCGGTGCCAGATGGTCTTCATGACTCCCCCACTCCAGGCTGTCCCTCAGAATCTGTGGGGCAGATCTGGCTTTGGAGGATGGACCTTCAGTCTCTTTTCTGGCAAGTTGATGGTCTCTTGTGCTCTGAACATTTGGGGCCACTGCTCCCTCTGTAGACTAAGAACTCTGAGATGTTCTTGGCACGACTTCTCCTGGCCATTATGGCACTTGGAAGCTGAGCATAATGTAAAGCAGCACACATCAGTCTGGGTCTAGATCCTAGACTGTTCTGGTTACCCAAGGGTCTCATTTCTGGTATAATTTGAAGAAAACTGCCTCAAAAACGTATGGGGTCTTCTCCAATTCCTCTGTAGACCTACCTTTGTACTGACTCACACCCCACAACAGGCAGTCATTAGCAAAAGACTTACATCTGGGAGCTTTCAGTTTCCTTTTGAGGTGTGCTGTTCAGGTCCATTTGGTCAACTGACATTTATTGATAATCTGCTCTATTGGGGCGTGGGGATAAAATGAGCAAAAACGTGTCCTTTTGAGAAAGTCGTGGGATGTAAGGGACCTAGACACTAATCAGTAGCCACTGGGGTGACTTTATGTGTAAGGGTGGTTTGTCTGCATATATGTCTGCACATTACATGCGGAGGTATCTGCAGAGGCCAGAAGAGTGTGTTCGATTGCCCCTGGGACTTGAACTGTTAGCCATATGTGGGCATTGGAAATTGAACCTGGGTCTTCTGGAAAAGGAGCCAGTGCTTTTAACCGTGGAGCTATCTCTCTAGCCCTCCACCTCCTCCTCCTCCTCTTCCTCTTCCTCCTCTTCCTCTTCCTCCTCTCCTTTTCTCCTCCTTCTTCTTCTCCTCCTCCTCCTCTTTTTTTTTTTTAAAGATTTATTTATTTATTATGTATACAGTGTTCTGTCTGTCTGTATGCTTGCTGGCCAGAAGAGGGCACCAGATCTCATTACAGATGGCCGTGAGCCACCATGTGTTGCTGGGAATTGAACTCAGGACCTCTGGAAGAGCAGTCAGTGCTCTTAACCTCTGAGCCATCTCTCCAGCCCAGCCCTCTTCTTTTTTAAAAATTTAAAAAGACATTTTATTTTACTTTGTGTGTCTTTGTGTGAGTTTTGTGTATTTGTGGGTACCTACAGAAACTGTAAGGTATTTAATCCCCTGTGCTATTACAGGTGGTTGTGAGCTGCCAGATGTGGGTGCTGGAAACCAAATTCTGCTCCTCAGAAAGAGCATACAGTAAGCACCTTTAACTGCTGAGCCATCTTTTTGTCCCATGAGCTTATTTTCAAACCCTCTTAGAAGACACATTGTGGGGCACTGGCAGATTACATGGAAGTCTATCTTCTGACGTGCCTTTTTCCTGTTCTAATGACATGTTAGATATGCAACAAAGCTTGGGTCTTGACTGCTGCCCCTTTCCCTTTCTGACTGGCCTGCTGTCATGGCTCACGAGTCTCAGCTAGAGTTGGGACAAGATGTCTTCCCATTCTAGGGTCATTAAACTAGGCTGGGTGGAGTTGGACCACGGAGGCTCCGACAGTGACAGGATTTTTGGGCTTACAGGAGGTGGCTGGCAAGACCAAGTGAGTGGTCTAATGCCTGGCATCAAGGTGGGGCGCTCTAGGGCCCAACTGCCCCTAAAGGTGGAGGTGGAGGAAATCATTGTGCCTGAGGGTTTTGTCCAGAAGATCAATGACCACCTGCTCCTGGTGTATACTGGCAAGACCCGACTGGCACGGAATCTGCTGCAGGTGAGCTCAGCCCCTAAGTTAGGAAGGCACTTCCTTGGCTGGGCTTGGCTGGACCCATTCTCACTGCACCTTCATGCCCGCCCCACAGGATGTGTTAAGGAACTGGTATGCTCGGGTGCCTGCTGTGGTGCAGAATGCCCGCAGACTGGTGCGACAGACTGAGAAATGTGCCGACGCTTTCCGTCAAGGTGAGATGTTTATCCACCCAGAGTTATTCTTGTCTCAGGCCTGACACAACTCCACATATTAGGCCCTTGGGGACCTCCTATTTCTCCTTGTGGGAGCCCTATCAGCATAAAACTTCTCTCACGGGAAAGGCCCTCTGACCCCACTTACTAGGAAACACAGCAAGAAGCTCTGCCTTGCCTTCATTGCAGGGAAGTGGGAGCTGACAGAGCCCCAAGGGTAAAGCTGTAGAACAGACTAGGCTGGGCACCATGTTAATTGCTTTGTGCATATCGGGCCTAAAACCTGTGCAGTTGGTCCTAATACTGGTAAAGACGTGCCTTTTGACACTCTCTTCCCTCTACAAAAGAATATCAACTGATATCTTGGCCCAGGCAAACCACCCCCTCTCTCCCAACCCTAGGTAACTTGCCTCTGTTGGGCCAGTACCTGACCTCATATTGGGAACAGAAGAAGCTTATGGCCCCAGGCTGTGAGCCTCTGGCTGTGCAGCGAATGATGGATGTCCTGGCCCCTCATGTATATGGCCAAAGCCTGGCAGGGGCAGGCGGTGGGGGCTTTCTCTATCTGTTGACCAAGGAACCACGGCAGAAAGAGACTCTAGAAGCTGTGCTGGCCAAAGCTGAGGTATGTGTTGCTGTCAGAATTAGAAGTTGGTTGGAGTGAAATACCCCACTGTGATCTACCAACTACACCAGCCCAGCCTTCAAAAGGCCTGGGAGTTGATCAAAGCCCTCTCAACAACACCTTCTGTCCTATCCAGGGCCTCGGTAACTACAGTGTCCACATGGTGGAAGTGGACACTCAGGGCCTGAGCCTGCAGTTGCTAGGAAGCGACACCCATCTTTGTGAGGCTGGGCCCTCTGAAGCAGGCAACACCTAGAGGTAGAGCTGCATTTTCCTTCAGTGGTGTTCATCCCTACCTCTTCGGCTGTTGATAAGGAAGCAAGACAGGCAGAAGAGGCAGTGCGTGCACACAGGACTGTACTTCATAGCTGGCAGTGGCTAAGACTCTACTCCATCTGGATTAAGGAAAGTCTTAATAGTAGTGTCTCATGTGGACTTTACAAATTCCATGGCCTACTACAGGCCTACTAGAAGAGCCTTTGGAAGGGATGATAATCAGACCAACCCTGATGATACACTTTTAAGACATCCCATTATCATGTTCAACTTTAATCCTCAGCCCTCCGTTGGGGAGCGGAGGGATAGGTCTATTCCCAGGTCTGTGGCAGTGAACCAGCGCAGTCTACAGAAAGTTTTTGATAACCTAAGCCTTTTCAAGCAACACTCCAGAAGTGCCAAGGTAATCAGTGGCCATGGGTTCTCAACACTCACATTCTTGGAATAAATTTTAATTTTCAAGGTTGTCTTCTTCAGAAAGTTCTTTCTTGTTCTTGCTGGGAGTAATTCCCACTTCTGGCACTGTGGGACGCTGCCCCTGAATTGATCCAGCTCCTGATGCTATAGCCCAAGAAAGGGTTGAAGTCCAGGATTGGATGAAGGTTCTCACTGTCATGTGACTGGCTATGGGAAGCTGAGATCTCATGCATTTGTCTTCAGGTTTTAGAGCTACTAGTGGAATGGTCTTGCCCAAGCAGCCAGCCCTTTCTAAACCCAACAACACAATGGCAAGTCTCCAAGAAGTGTCTTTATTCTGATGTTTATCTGTGAACATCATAGCCTTGTCTTTAGGTCCCCAGGTGCCTTCAGGCTCTCATGCTGTCAGGGTCATTGCTGTAGTGTGGGGGTGAGAGAATGACCACTCATGGGAAGGCTGGTGGGGCCATATGCTGCCTGCTTGGCCTCCCACCTCTCTCAGTTGAGAAAGGCTGTTCTAAAGCACCCCTCCCATTGCCTCCAGCCTCAGTTGCTACTGGGCAGAACTTGGGAGTGGGTCCAGTCCTTGTTTTCTGGTTGTTGAGCAGTGGTGTAGTCTGGGCCCCTGGCTTATGTAAGCCAGATAGCTTTGCGTGGCTCTCTGGCTGTAGCTACTTAGAAAATAGGTCCTGTGGGTCACATGGCACCACACAGCAGCTACAGGCGCAGCCTCTTGATGTCCTCATTGCGGAAGTCTATGCGCAGAGCCAGCACCTGTCGCACTTCAGCAGGGGTGAGGCGCCACGTCAAAGGACCAGAGTTGGCACCCCAGTAATCTAGTATCTCAGTCACCTGTGGGGAGGAATTAACTGGTCAGCAGGGGTGAGTCTATGCTGAGGGAAGCTCCTGGGCTTTACTATGGCAAGTCAGGGACATACAGGAGGGTGCCTTGTAGAACTGTGCTGCTAGCAAATGAGGGAGTGGCAGGGTTCCAAACTTGGCTATGGACTCTTCCCAGTCACTAATCTGGGCTAGGTTGAGGGAGTCACGTACCCGCTCTAGATTGAGGATTGTAGCCATTTGGGAGAGCCGGGCGAACTTGTCTCGGATGGTCCAGGTTGTCACCGTGGTAAGGTAAGCAATGAGTGACCTCAGTTCTTTGTCAAACTGCAGACCGCCTAGCTACCGGAGAATGAACACAAACCTTGTCTCTGTTTAAGGCCTGGCCCTATGATGAAACAACTAGAATCCAATGGTCCTCAGAACTGGGAGCAAAGGCTGAAGAGATGGCTCAGCAGGTAGGGGTGCTTGCCACCAACCCATGATCTGAGTTTGATTCCTAGAACCCACAACAGAGAACCAGAATGATTGCAAATTGTCCACATGTACACTGTGGCATGTGCTCCCCATGATAGATAGATAGATAGACAGACAGACAGACAGAATTAAAAGAAAAAAAAGAACTAGCAGGCAAGACCACCACTAGGCCTGTGACTTCAGTCTGTTCTAGTGCCTCAGAAGCCAGGCAGAACTGGGTCTAGTTAAGCAGGCTGTGCTGGTGGCAGAGAGAACATAAATTCTGGGATGGAATAGGGGAGAGCTATTCTCCCTATTATATATTAATAATAGGGCCCATATTCCTTTGAACTTACCCTATTGAAGGTGGACTTCAGAACGACTTTCTCTAGTTCAACAGCAACAAGGCTGGTCATGAGGCCCGTCAGGCTGTCATAGATGACTGGAGACAGGCTGGCCTGCAAAAAGCTTGTATCAGAGTTCATCCAGTCCCTCTGCCTTTACACTGGAGTCTTCCAGTGAGACAGTTACATGAAGAGGCAGTATCCCCACAGACGACTCGGTAGAGCCTTTGGACTCTACAGCAAGAGCGGTAGGCAACAGGACGTCAGTGAGGGCAGGAGGGGTAATTACCTTGAACTCTGCCATCTGCTGTTCCAGGTTGAGGATGAACTGCTGTACCCAAGGGTCATTGGCCTCATAGTCATTGAATTCTTCCTATGATCAGAAGCAAGTAGGGGTTGCAAAGGGCCTCTATCTAAGAATTACTACTCACCCTCACCCCTCCTCCGCCCTTTTAAGTAAATGAAATAAGAAGTTCTTTCTCCCTGTAGTTTTTGACTTTAAAATCATCCTGAATGAGCATGGCGTTTACATCTATAATTTCAGAGAACAAGTATAATTTCAGAGAACAAGGCAGGATTGCCCTAAGTTTGATAACAGCCTTAGTTACACAATGAAATGAGACCCTTGCCTGATAAAATAAAAATAAATAAAATCATTCCCTGCTCAAAAACCCAAACAAACCCCCTAAGCAAATCCGAGAAGCAGCTTGAGTCCGAGGCTGAGCAGCAATGCTCCTATATCCAGCTAACAGCTCTGGGCTGCAGCAGTGCTCCATTTACCAGGGAGAGGCTAGGCCAGGAGAATAAAGCTCTCAGATGGCTGGGTGTGGTAACAGAGCACTTGGGAGCAGACACAGGAATAACTCTCTGAGTTCAAGTCTAGCCAGGGTTTCATAGTGAGACTCTCAAAATAGAGAAAAAAAAAAAGGGCTCCTAGGTCTATGACAGATGGGGCAAAATGTGCCTCAGTAAAAGATGAGTCACATGAAGACAAGATCCCTTCACATCTCTCTGAGCCATGATGACAGCAGGAACAAACTGTTTCTTGGGAGGAATCCAGTCTTTGATGGAGGTGGAGGTGAGCTGACGTTAGGTCTAGTCTGTTCAGATGATTCACTGCCTCTGATGACTGTTGTGTCAGACTGACCTCCTCGATGTTGTGGGAGACTGAGAGAAAAGTGTTGATCCAAGGTTGCACTTGCGGCTTGACTGCTGAACTGTTGAGCTCCGCTAGCCCTTCCTGTACCAAGACAGGACAGAGACACATCAGACACATGCCCCACCTCTTACCTTTTCTTCTAGCTCTCTCATGACTACTGCAGCTGAGCAGGCGCTTCAAGAATCATAGTGGAGGTCATGCTAATAAAAGCCAGGAACATGTCCCTTTCCAAATCTGTAGAGATTCAGGTCTAGAGATGAGTTCCTGAGATTGCCTTAGTAAATCTCAAAAGGTGATTTGTGGTGATATTTTGTTTGTGCTTTAACAAATAAAGCTTGCCTGAAGATTAGAGTGTAGAGCTCGCCACACTAGTTAGCTATAGAAGCCAGGCAGAGGTGGCACTCAAGAGACAGGCTGACAGATGTCTGTAAATTCGAAGCTACCCCAGACCACATAAGATTGAATTAGTCTAAAAGAGAAATAGAGCCAAGCAGTGGTGGCTCACACCTTTAATCCCAATACTAGGAAGGTGAAGACAGGAAGTGATATGGAGGGACGGAGAGAAGAATATAAGGCAGGAAGAGTTCAGAATTCAGTCTGAGGACTTGTAGAGACGGGATACCCCATTTAGTCTGAGGCTTTTGTAGAGGTATTAACTAGTGGCTGGCTGCTTTGCTTCTTTGATTTTTCAGCTTTCACCCTTAGTATCTGACTGTGGGTTTTATTAAGACCGATTAGAAACTGTGCTTCAAACTGGGCAGTGGTGGTGCGCACCTTTAATCCCAGCACTTGGAAAGCAGAGGCAAGTGGATCTTTGTGAGTTCAAGGCCAGACTGGTTTACAGAGTGAGTTCCAGGTCCAAAGCTACACAGAGAAACCCTGTCTCAAAAAGAAAAGAAAGAAAGCATGCTATAGTGATTTCATAATGCCTAGTGTTAGCTAGTGTTAGATAGTGCCTGTGGCTAAGGTCAAGCATCATTGAACCATGTGGTTCAATTCCTCTGAACATCTTTCTGAGGGCTCTTGTCATTTTGGGACCACCAAGCAGAAATTCTAAAGGACACAGGCTTGTTCATGTGATACATGCTAAAAAAAGAACTGTGGGGCCTTTAGTCTCAAGGGGTTTGCATGCCTTCAGTGACTGGCATGTTTCATCCTTGCCCTCTTTCCCACATCCCTGTATCCCTGCCCACAGTGGAGTCTATAGTAAGCCAGCTAACAGTCTTCTCAGAGCATCATGGTAGCAGCATGAGGTCTTACCTGTAAGAGGTCTCGAAATTTGTTGGACACAGCAGCTAAGTCAGAAAGGCAGCTGTCAAACTTGGCCTGGGCCTGTTCCCCTCCAATGCCTTGACTGAACAGTTTGGTGCAGTCACTCTAGGGGAAAATAAAGCTTTAGAAATCGACTGTGCGCCGGGCGGTGGTGGCCCACACCTTTAATCCCAGCACTCGGGAGGCAGAGACAGGTAGATCTCTGTGAGTTTGAGGCCAGCCTGGTCTACAAGAGCTAGTTCCAGGACAGGCTCCAAAGCTGCAGAGAAACCCTGTCTCGAAAAACAAAACAAACAAACAAAATCGTCTGTGCCTATGCCATTGGAATGTAAGCAGAGGCAGAGAGGGTCAATATACAAGTAGCCACCTGTCCTTTACTAGACTTCTCTGAGAAGATTCTATAATGGCAGCTTTCTGCTTTCGCCCTCCCCCTTCTAATGTGGGGGTATCAGTGTCAGTAGAAGAGACAAGAAACAGAAATGGCAGAAGTTATATATATATAAACACAACACGCAAACAGGGCTGGAGAGATGGCTTAGTGGTGAAGAATAGCTGCTGAATAGCTGCTCTTCCAGAGGACCTGGGTTCAATTCCAGCACCCACATGGCAGCTCACAACTGTCTATAACTCCATTTCCAGGAGATCAGGCACCCTCACACAGACATACATACAGGCAAAACATTAATGCACATAAAAATAAATGAACCTTAAAAAAAAAGAAAAAGAAAAAAAATGCTAGGCAGTGGTGGTGCACAGTTAGGTCCTGGCACTGGAGAGGCAGAGGAAGGCATATCTTTGTGAGTTCAAGGCCAGCCTAGTCTACAAAGTGAGTTCCAGGACAGCCAGGACTACACAGGGAAACAACAACAGCAACCAAAACATTTAAGGCAAACATTTCTAAGTTTAAGTTTTGGTTCAGTCATGGTACTTCCTAAATAACTTAGGCAAAGAATTTAGTTGTGAAGCTTCAATTCCCCTCTCTATAAAAGGGAACAGATGCACACCTTTAATTCCAGCACCCATGAGGCAGAGGCAGGAAGATCTCGGTGAATTTCAGGCCAGCCAGGGCTACCAGTGAGACCCTGTCTCAAAAATGAGAATAAAGAACACAGAGTCCTGTTCTCTTGATGACTGAGTTGTGTGAGACGATACAGGAAGTACTCAGCCTGGTACATAGTGGGCACTAAGATACACTTCTGATGACTTCACAGTTTCTGCTAAAATATTTTAGTCTTATGCAGCTGATGAGACAGCTCAGCAGATAAAGGTGTTTGCTGAGTAGGTCTGGTGTTTAATCCCTAGGAAACACATAAAAGTAGAAGGAGATAACTGACTCTAGAAAGTTGTTCTTTGATGTCCACATATGCACTGTGGCATACATGTCCTGTTCCTCTACCACACACACACCCAACAATAAGTAAACAAAAAACCCCAACAAACCAACTAAACAAAAAACCCAAACAAAATAAACAATCCTTGAGCCAGGCAGTAGTGGTAATACCAGCACTTGGGAGGCAAAGGCAGGGTAGATCTGAGTTTGAGGCCAGTTTGGGCTACAGGACAGCCAGGGCTATACAGAAGAAAGCCTGTCTCAATAAACCAAAATAAATTTCTTGCCCTCCTTTAAAGCATACAAACACACATGCATGCTCAAGTACCCCCCCAAGTACATTTAGAAAATGATTATAAATAACTTAGAAATAAAACAAAACATGCTTGCCCCATGAAATAGTATTATTTATTATCCTTGAGGCACAGATGAGGAAACTGAAGATCAGAGATTTAATGACTTGCTACAATCAGCACAGTAGAATATAGAGCTGGATTTGGCTGAAGTATCTGACTCAGGGTATTTGTTCCTGTCACTATACTTCAGCCCTGACCCCTGCGGGGTGACCTGCTGGAAGCTCATGGTGTTTCATGTTGCCGGCAGCTGCCTACATCGTTTCTTGTGGTATTCCTTACAGAGTTTATGCTGTTCTTTCTACAGCAGCATCAGTGCAGAGGGACTGGTAGAAAACCCCATCCCCACAGTAGCTCCTTCACTTAGTCTTTTAGCCTTTTACCTCATCTAAATGGACCTTTTTTGCAAAGTGCTAGTGATGGGGCTAAGACAGACTGTGAAAGGCAAATATCATTTATGTTCTGTTTTTAGCTATTCGCTCTTTTTTCAAGACAAGTTTTTTTTTTTGTGTGTGTGTGTGTATGTAACCTTGGTTGTTAGAGA